TTGAATCAGTTCCTGGCGCTGTATATGCCTTAAATCCAGGTAATTTTACGGAACCACTAGCCTCCTGTAAGGCTATTATGTCTGGTTTACTGTCCAGATTTTGTACGTGCAACTGCAGGTTACCCCGCTTTTGACGAAAGCCCCTGCAGTTCCACTGCCAAACCTCAATTTGCTGGCGAGGCGCCATGATGAGGCACCAGGTTGACTAATGGCACTTGGCCACCCACGGGAGGCAGTCTTGCCTCCAATAGAGTATGAAGCTGCGGAAACATGCCCATGACCTGGGTTGGGAATCCTTAAATTCAGTGGAGAGCATGCCGAGACGCTCCTCTATTGTGTCTAATCTGGCTTCGATCTTTTCGACTCGAGCCTCCAACCTATCCTGTCTTTTCCCTTGTTTGCCTACTTTATCCGCAAGTGTTGTTACATCCGACTTAAGACTAATGACCTTAAAAACAGGCTGTGGCATGTCTACTGGTGACGTTTCGGCTAATCGTTTTGCGTTAGCTACCTCATCCCCCGACAGTGGTCTCTTCACTGTCCCCCGATTCTCCACTTCCATAGCTGCACTCTCCTGTACGCGAGCAGACGCCTCTTGCGTCGCTTTCTGTAGGCCTTGCACTGCTGGTGCCTGTGTCCCCCTGCCGTTGGTCGTTTCTAAGTGCGCGTTCCATCTCTGCAATTCTGTTTTCCATTCTTTTAATCAAGTCTCCCTGTCGCTGAACCAGCGCTGCTAACTCCCTCTCTCGAGCGGTTTCGTTCTTGGAGGCCGTGCTTGACAAGCTCACCTTTTTGTTGGTGTCGCGTGCGCAGCTGTTGGTACTGGATGCTCGTCCACCATCTTGGCCGCCCCCGCGCCCTGGCAATGGCGGGTAGGAACTCGACCGGTCCCTGCTTTTGCTTCTGCCTTCTTTACCCCTCGGTGACCGTTCCGTGGCCCTCGAGGAACGCTTATCGTTGCCAGCTTCGCTCTCTCTTTCGATGCTCTGCTGCCGGCCTGTCGGTGGCTTGCGAGCCAGGCGAAACTTCCAGTTCCGGCTCCCTGTGTGATGCGCACCATGGCACACGATGCAGACCGGCGTGCACGTAGGTGGCTCTCCTTCTGGCGGGGCAGGATGGTCCTTCCCGCAACGGTGACATAGGTTGCTCTTCGGACGATAGCAAACGTCCGCTCGATGTCCAACTCGTCTGCAGTTGAAGCAGGTCTCGACTAAATTTCTGTACGGGATCACAGCGTACAGACAGTTCCAGTAAGTAATCTGCCGGGGTATGCGTTTTACCCCGAACGTAATCTGAATCGCCTTTGACTTTCCCAGAGGTCTCGCGTCCAGAATGTCTATGCCTTCATTCTTCTTCAGGAATCCCGCCCGAACTTCTTCCACTGGGCATCCATCATAAGCATTATAAATCACTCCTCGCACGGAGTTCTCCAACGGCGCCACGAACGCCGAAACCGGCAGGTCACGATCACCCAGCTTGAGCGTCTTCACAGTCGCATATGCCCCACTGCGATTTATGCACGGTGTGCTCACCGTCAACGTGTTGTTTGTGCCATTAACCCGCACAATGTCTTCTTCCGCGGCAATCGCACTCGTTAGACGCGCTGCTGCTCTCAGTGCACATCCGAGTTCTCTCGCTGTCACAACACTCAAGTCCCAGTTCTGGGGCCTGTACACAATCTTGAAATCCGTGGCTGGCAACTTGAGAAACGGTCCGCGTTTCTTCCATACCGGCGCTTTCCCCCGCTTGACTTGCTGCGCTCCGTGCGTCTTGCGCCCGTCGCTGCCGGCCTGCGTCTCGCAAGGCTTACTCTTGGCGTTGTCGCCATGCCGAGTCTTCTTAAATCGGTCCTGTGCCTTCAGCACTGGAGCCCACTCTCCCGCTTCAAAATCTTCGGGTGTTATAGTCTCCCCTTCGACGTAGTACTCCATCTTCAGCCCACCAAGACCCACGGTCACCGGGCGCAAGTCAGACGCCGGGCGACGCGGCCCAGGCCAGGCTTGGCCTAGGAGATAGGCCTAGCCTTGCCACCGCGGGGTTGACAGGAAAATCTCGGAAACTCCAAAAACGGGGACAAACTTGCCTAAACAAGTGGTGTCCGTAGGTACAGGGCAACCTCCTGCAGACGAGCCCACTGACAGCAAGTCCAGAAAAAAGCGCGTCCGCCGATAGTCGGTCACCGGGCCGGAGCTCATGCGAAACACGTCCGCACAGCGTCTCACTCCAGCCACCTCTCACAGGAAACAGAACTTTTTCTTTTAAATACGAAGCATTTTTTACTGAACTTCGGCGACCTTGAGCGTATCTATCTATCTATCTATCTACCTATCTACCTATCTACCTATCTATCTATCTATCTATCTATCTATCTATCTATCTATCTATCTATCTATCTATCTAGCCGCCTACGACTTTTAGCTCTCCTGGTCGTTTTGATAATGGTATCGATACCAAACTTGGTATGGCATAACATGACTGAATGCAGAACATATTCGACTAGTCATAACATGAAATCATGACATATATGTCATTAATGTCAAGGTTTACTTATTATAGTCCTGTAGCTCTTGCGGTCGTTTTTTTCACATGGCATGTTGCAAAACTGGTATAGTATGACATGATTACAAGGCGAACACAAGTAACAGACCATAACGAAAAAATCACCACTTGCGTGTCATGTAACAACATGACTACGTGTCACGCTCATAATGCGCTCGCGGCCGTTCCGCTAGCTTCGCTTATATCACATTTGGTATTACGGGACGTGAATGGATGACGAAGGTATGATACTGGTGCAAACATGATCAAGATGAGATGCGTGTCATGTAACAACATAACTACATGCTACGCTCATGATACGCTCGCGGTCATTTTGCTAGCGTCACATGTATCAAATTTGGTATTACGTGACGCCAATGGATGACAAATGTGACTAACGCAAACATAATAATTATGAGATGCGTGTCTTGTGAGAACGTGACTACATGCCAAGGTTAAGGCGCCAATACATTTTGACATGACGCGGTGCAGCGTGCTCGCCGGTGTTGCCACGCCAGGCGCCGGTCCTGCCATATACTCGCAGGTGCGTGCCACGCTGTGTTGCTTTAACGCATGTGCGTCTCAGCGCATGCGGCATCCCTCCGTCACGAAAAGAGGGAAACGCAGTGTTGTGTGGGTAACGCATCGGCATAGAGTAATGTTACTCTACGGCATCGGCGCGAAATGCAGCATGTCGCATTTCACACCAGTTGCCTGTCGGGTCCGCGCCGACGGACGCTGGTCGCGCCTGGCATTACACTATAGAGTGCTCGCGTTTTGCTAACGTAGCGCCACTGTGCCTAGCGTGCGCGCGCGTGAACGCTACAGTGGAATATATCGGACCCTTCATGATGTGCTCGAGGGCGGTTCGCTAGCTCCACATATACTGAATTTGGTGTCATGTGACGTGAATAGATGACGAAGCTAAACTAGACATCTAAAACATGATTATCAAGACACCGAAGTCACGTACGGCATCATCTACTTCCTCCCCGTAACGTTGTGCTGATTTTAACATGACATATCAAAGTTCTCTTCATGCTTCGCATATCATCGATTCCCACTGTAAGTGGGATCCGCCAATTTTTTATTCAACCGATGCCGTAGGGCGTACTGGCGCCAATAAAAAAAAAGTGTGCTTGAGACGACCGCTTTGAAACGCCAACGACAAGCCGAGAACGCTGTTTGTTTTGGTCACTTCATAGCATTTTTAAAAAGCTAGCTACTGGAGCTGAAAACTCATACCGCGTTTCTCGCGACAGAAAAACACCACGCGTGGCTGCATGCGGTCACGGAAAAAAAAAACATTATTCTTCTAAGGCTGGGCTTGACATGAGAAACACCGTTATGAGCGCCATGCATGCAATGCATTCGCATTTCCTAACGATTCCTTTTGGGAAGTTGGGGGCATTTTGTTTCACTAATACGTAGAATGATCGCTGCCAATTTCGTCTCACCCCTTTTACTTAGATGCTGCGCTCTCTCGAATTGCATGATTAAACCGGAAAACAACTATCTCTTTAATTGAAAGCCTATTACGCACTGTGAAATCTAAGAATCAATTGAGCAGCTTTTACGCTCTTGAAGGAATTCGGGTACGGCTCTGTGCACCGAATAATGAAGTATACTATCAGCGAACCATATCTTCGCTTTCGCAGCACACTTAAAACGTTTCATTCGTTGATTGAGATAAGTGTAGGGACACTGCTTTCAAATTCAAATGCCGCTATGGGATGTTTCTGTATCTTTATAACTTTTAAAAATTCAGGAAGAAACGCTAGCACTCTAGAGCTAAGTGGTCCCAAATGTTTCGCCATTATAGCCCATTTCCTGAATACTCGCTATAATTAGCCAGCTCTCGTTTAGATTTTAGCTAGTCGTACACTTGACGACATTATTAAAAAAGTAAATGGCCACGTGGTAGAGAAACATATTGGTAATTACCGTAAGTTTCCCTAATGAACTAAAAGCACAACTAACTTGCTCACCTTTCAGTTAAAATTGAAAATTTGCGCTTAGATTACTCAACTTTTTGATGCACAGTGAGTTTCAATAGATAAGATATTTGAAGCTTTCACCAAAGACAAGTTCGGGCCCTACTACTATTCCCAATAACCGGCATTATTAATAATGGGCATATAGGTTCATGAGAACAAAATAACACTACCCGCACTGCTTACTTCATACATATTTGAACATGAGCCGCAAACAGGCTGTTCAGTCTATGTTCCTCTGAAGATTTTCTTCTTTCGCCATGCAATTGACTTTTTTTCTATTATTTATTATTGAAGTGCACGTAGTTTAGAGGATTTCTTGGTGTTTACGGTGTCAACTTAAACAGAGTATAAAAAACTAACACTATATATTATAATATGTATGTCACTAAAGCAGAACCGACTTGTTCGTTTACAAAATATTCACACATTCTTGTTTTCGAACCACATTTGATCAAAGTGACTCACACATTTTTAAGCATGGGAAGGTTCCCAAAGACGTCTTCATCCAAGTTGATGACCTCAGATGAAGACAGCACACTGCAAGTAAATGCGACTATGTTGAATCAAGAGATGACACATAGAAAATTGGTGCATTATTCTTAACTTTCTTAATTCGAAAGCGAATATCAGTAGAGTACTCACGGACTGAAACTAGACATGAAGTTTTCTGGAGCAGTGACTGATATGCGCAATAGCTGGAAATAACCACGCCATGTAGCAAAGAATACGGTCGCTAAATGAAATGTTGGCTCAAATCTACCTGTTCAAGTCAAAATTACGGCGGTACAATTACAACTGGTGACAGTAGAAACTAAAGTGTCTGTGTTACTCTGCCCTTGATATTCCCGTTTTGATACGGCAGTACTGTATGTAGCCTCACACGACGAACCAAATTAAATTAAACACGATATTTGTAAAAGAAACGAAAACGTAAGATCACTACACACTGCTCAATTTGAGTTTATGATTACCAGTGTGTTATGTATGGCTGATAGGGAGCGTATGAGGTCATCCCCTGGAACAGTCCTATTAGTCCCGTAGAACGAACACTGACATCACTTGCAAGCCGTCACGGCAAAGGACACTACCTCTCCGCCGCCGCTTCTCTTGTCTTTCGGCGGCCGCCGCGTACTCGCTCTTCATCGACACATTGGTGATTACTTCGCAATTGCGTGGGGTAAATCTCTCAATATACAAAGTGAAAGGTTTCGTAACTAGTGAAAGTAATCGAAGCTGCAAAAGGCTTTCATCACTTAGCTTAGGATCGCCAGACTCCCGTTCGAACAGAAGATTTACTGTGCAAGTTTTTTGTTTTTGTTACGTACACCCAGAAATAGGAAAATATTCCAAGTGGTTGTAACGTGGTTACTACTAGGCATACACTCTGAGATGAGAACATGACACTTTCCAAAGTATCAGAAGTTAAATTAGGATGCTTTCAATTCATTCAATACATTCTGCTTCACCGTGCAAGTTGTGCCTGCGTTTGCTAGTAATCTAAATGCATTGGCGCAATTGCGCTTTTTGCCCCGCCGCGGTGGTCTAGTGGCTAAGGTACTCGGCTGCTGACCCGCAGGTCGCGGGTTCAAATCCCGGCTGCGGCGGCTGCATTTCCGATGGAGGCGGAAATGTCGAGGCCCGTGTGCTCAGATTTGGGTGCACGTTAAAGAACCCCAGGTGGTCAAAATTTCCAAAGCCCTCCACTACGGCGTCTCTCATAATCATATGGCGGTTTTGGGACGTTAAACCCCACAAATCAATCAATCAATCAATCAATTGCGCTTTCTCAAGCAGAAGACCTTACATGAATCTGCTTGTCATAAGCATGAACTTGACATATCCGGAAAATAAACGATAATGTACCGAAGCACGTGCAATCATTTTGGAAGTGTTGGTATATGTCCGTTTACTTCACATTACGTGTTTCTTCTCAACGGTCGCCAAACATTGCGTAGTCGTATTTCCTGATTTGCGTTTAATACTGTGGTGATCCACCACCACGTCCCAAACGGCATTGTAAACTTCATGTGGGAGGATTGCGCTGATAGCAACAATTCCAACACAAACGCCAGAAAGTCGAAATGAACTCTTTCGATGGCACAGTCAGTGACGTGGCCCAAGTAATAATTGAACCAGCTTCGCTTCAATAAGGTGACGACTAGTCTCTTACGTCATGTCCACGCACAGGTAATCAACTGCTAGGAAAATTTAATTTCGAGGTGGCTATCTAAACTGATAGTTACGAGTGAGATAACAACGTTGCTACGATTCTGCACGAAGACAGAATCTAACGGCAATAGAAATTTCTGCACATAACCAAAATAAATTTTGTGAAATGAAATTTTAAAATTATCGCGAGAGAAACTTGAAACTAAACAACATGTTGAGTCAGCAAGTACACGAGAAAAACAGATAAAACAGCGGCGATGGTATTCTAGGGCGAGCGCATTCGAGATACTTTGCAAGACTCGATAATGCTCGTGAGCGCGGAGCTTGTCACAACAGCGAGAGCACTGTTCTTAGATACGTTGATTCCTCTGTTACAAATAACTCCGTTGGAGGAGAAACCCTCAAATTTCCTATACGAATCACCCATGAACAGCTCAACCTCATAATGTAAAAATTGTGCCTTGCGTCTTAAAAGCACATGATTATGTGCCATTGAGTTTGGTGTATCTAAGCAGAAGTGTGTTCCTGCTTTTCACAACTATCGCAGTGCAGGTGAGTGGGCAGGAATAAAATCTGTTGTCGGGGTTGGCAAGGTGACGAGACCTCTTCACCCCTTTCCCACTGCCTACGGCCACGCGCATGATTGTGCAGAAGCAAAAGTAGACATTTGTTCTTTTATCGGCCGCATTACCGATTCTGTTTTTGTTATTAATCTGGAGCTTGAGACGAGCAGAAGTGAACGAGAGCAGCGGAACAGCGCACAAATCGAGCGCGTCATTATGTAGGTGCGCGGCGGTGGGCATCGATGTGCCAGTTTTATTTGTGACGTCACACAGGCTCGCCACCAGGAGGCACCACTCCAACTTCTTAGGGCTAATAGTCAGTTACAGATGAAGAATAAATGGAAGCTGCTCTCACAGGCCTCACTGTCGCTACTAAGAACAACTTGCATAATTATTTTACTTAATTGCAGTTGGTTATTTACGTTACGTCAGGCAGATTTTACGCATTAAGACATATAACTTGCCTGTACAGACTCCATTGCTGGTGTTTCGTCGCACAAGCTTACTTTTTGGCCTATCGCATGAAAAAATTCTAACTTCATTGCTACCCTTAAGATATCGTTTCAACAAGGAACGCGAAACTTTTTATTTTTAATTTACGCAGTGTTTGCATTACCAGCGAAAATGTACTTATGGTTGGAACGGGAATCACCAATCAGTGCTCTCTCAGACAGATGCATAACAGGTATGCCACAGTACTGGAGGTAGAGCGGGTATTTTTAAACACGATATTCTTTCTTGGGCTACTTGCTCCCGTATTCAGAAACGCTGTTTCACTTGAACTTGACTTGCACTGACTTCAATGCAGCACAAACTCGCTTCGAACGCGCTGTCTTTAGGCGGTGCCAAGGCCACAAACCCACCGACGCGTTCCAAACGCGCTGCATTGAAGTCGAATTCAAGTCAAGTTGAAGTCAAGAAGCGTTTCTCAGTACGTGGCTTAGGCGCTAAAATTTCGGTCTGTCTACACCTGTGTCTGTTGGTCCACTGTTCTATTTCTCATCCCAAAACGGCTCAAATGCAACATCTGCAGTTCCCACCAATACTTCTCTGGTCTCTGTCTTCATACTTGTGCGTATTATTGATTAAAAAGCTAATGTTGCACATATATGAGGCAGAACATCAACACGCCATGGACTATACCGTGGCGTGTTTCATCATACTATAAAAGGCATACGTAAATATTTATAAACACCGTAGCACTTACTACGCTGCGCTGACAATAATATGCTATGTCGAAAAGGCAGGTGGAAGAGTATCGTCGTTCAACGACTCTGCAGTGAAACTTGCAGATACGGGGCCAATGATATTTTCTTAGGTTTAACTGACTATAGCTACAATCTTAATAAATGCAACTCTAAGACAAAAACTGCTGATAATATAGGTAGCTAGTTTGCGTCCGTTCTCTCATTCAGCCAGGAATGTACCTAGCAATTCACAAAGCATGTTGCTTCAGTTCTTAGAATGTTTGACATGCTTGTAATAATTTACCACTGGTCCTTTAACTGTGCAGCTACTAAACTACAATAAATAGTTGTATCGGACCAGTTGGTAAGGATTCATCTTGCTAGGAATCGCAGCCACTATTACACAGAACACACAACACAAGCGCTTGTTTTGTGTGTCTGTGTAATAGCGGCTGCGCTTCCTAGCATGATGGATAATAAACTACCACCAACGTCCTACCAGCTGAGCGCGCGAATTGCTTTATTACTTAGCCTCAAAGACATGCCTATCGTGCCGAGAATTCTACCAATGATGGCTGAGCGTCAAGTGATACGATATACATGTGTCGTCTGAACTATTCCTCACTGTACGACTCAGAATAATAAATATCTCAACATTTTCCACCTATAATAGTTGGCCTGTGTCACGTGTATTCGTGGTAAGATATCACCCAGAGTTCACGCGGCACTCTCTATGCTATTTGCTAACGAGGTTGCATATTTAGCCGTAACGTTCATGAACACGCTGATGAACATTAAGCTCGTGTGGAAGTGGGCTGCCCGGTAGACTTACAGTATGGTTAGTTGAGGCATCAGCGGGAAGTCACTCTTCTGTAGCTTGGAGAAATGGTTCCCAGAGATGTCCCTGGGAAAAGAAGGCAGGATGGAACAAATAGCTCTTTTACTACCACTCACTCTATTCATTGCTCTGTCTTCATTATCTGAAAGCTCAATTTAACGTGAAGAGACCACCATATGAATACGAGAGATGCCGTAGTGGAAGGCTCCGGAAATTCCGGTCACCTAGGGCTCTTTAACGTGCACCCTATTCTGAGCACACGGGCCTAGAGCAATTTCGCCTCGAATGCAGCCGCTGCAGGCGGGATTCGATCCCGCGACCGGCGGGTCAGCAGCCGAGTGCCTTAGCCACTAGGCCAGTGCGGCGGGTCTATTTAAAAGCTGATGAACATGTGAAGAGAGCAGCGCATAGGATTGCTAAAAGAATAATACTAATCATAGTACCAATAATAAAAAACTTTATAATTTTTTCGATGCTGTAAGTTCAGATAGAAAGGGAAAAAATAAAAACAGTGAGGCAAGTGTAGCATCATTGTAGGTAGCTCAGCTCTTATATGCGCATATTTAAACGAAATGAGTTGTGAAATATCACTGAACTCAGTTCGTAGGTGTCTGTGCATTCTAAAAGAAACAGGGCATGCAAACACGGACATACGATGGAAGTCCGGACAACACGAGCACCTGCTAATGACTCCAGAAGCACACAAAAGGCGGGAGATATATAAGTCATGAAAGCCCGTGTGCGCACGTCCATGCAATATAGGAGAACCCATCAATCTAGCACGTGGCGCTTTACATGACAGATAACTGTCAAGGCATTTGATTTTATATTTATTCAAATTGATCGAACGTTGCCTCATGCATGCACTACAGCTCTTATCGATGTGTCAATGCTCAAGTATTCAGACGCGTCGCTTCATTTTTCTTCCGGCGCAAAACGGCACCTTCTTCGAATTTTGACGTGCACTTAAACTCATGAGAGTTCTCAGTAGGCTTCTGCAGTTTTAAGTATGTGTTTGTAAAATAGACGCAAGAAGTGCGAAGCCTTTCTGTACGTACTGCAAGAACTTTTTCCGTCTATCTATCTATCTATCTATCTGTCTATCTATCTATCTATCTATCTATCTATCTATCTATCTATCTATCTATCTATCTATCTATCTATCTATCTATCTATCTATCTATCTATCTATCTATCTATCTATCTATCCGCCTACATCCTGGTGCTCTTATGTAACGCCCTTAACTTGGAGAGTACACCAAACCAGTGTCACTATGGCGGGGGGGGGCGGGGGGGGGGGTAAGATGCGTTTACGAATTCGACGCGCTGGTCACGACATGAGTAATGCCCCGATTTCGTCGCGTACGTCATCACACTTCCAAAAAAAAAAAAAGCTGGCACATACTCAGGAACAGATAGTCCTAACCTGTGCGCCACGTCATGGCCAGACATGGGAATGGCTCGCTGCATGTAAGTCCACGCCCCGCCAGACCTAAATAAAGTTTTTTTATACCCATACCATGCTCAGGGTCGGGTATGCGCCACATGGTATGCCGGTATGTGCCACAGTTAATAGATTTTATGTCGACCCAGGAACGGCGAGAACAAAAATGGTAACTTTAACGATATGACCGTTAAAAATCATAGCATATCTACGAGGTGATTGATGACGAGTGGGACGAAGCTCTTCATAGGGAGTTTAATCACCCTAATTGATCTTCAAACTATAGACGTGAGAAACGCTGTGTGTGGTAAACAAATATACTTTTATTGTTATTGATGGAGAAGGACGGATTGTGGCGTTTCTTGAATACCACGAATGGACTGACAGACCGACGGACTGAAGAAAGGAAGGACGCGCGCGCGCACGTACAGCCGCTTGCATGTACGGCTGGAAAGACATACGGACGAATGAACCAACGTACGTATGGACAGATGGACGGACGCACTTCGTTGACGGATGGATGGACGGACGGATGGACGATGAATGGACGGATGAACGCACCTTGATAATTAGCCAATGACTGTTCAAGCTGTTCTGACATGTTGTCGACAAGGAATATTGCAGGGTGAAGGCGACCAAAGAGCTGCTAAAGTTTTTGGCGGCGAAGCCCCTCAAAGGGCCCCTAAACCACCTCTAATATTTTCCCAAACATTTCAAGTAAACGAGTTAACCTCCCTGCCTTTCCTTGCATCTTTATCTCTTTCTCTCTCTCTCTCAAGTAGACGAGCTCATCGCGTGCAGAATGCCGTCGCGATCAATGATGCCACACGCCACAACGCTACAGGTAGCGGGCGCGCCACAATTTCGAAAAAACGATTGCTTCTTCTTTCCGGTCCCCGCCATTCCCGCCACTTGCATGTGTGACATCACCAGTGATACTCGATGACGTTACCACTTTCGATGCTTGCGATTGGCGGAACGACAACTGACGACTTCCCGTCACTCTGCAAACAGCTGTTCATGCGCACCTTGCTGTTCTTGGTCGTGTTGCCGCTTGCGAATCAACATATGCGGCCCGTAACGCAACGAAGGGTTCATAGCGGCACGATTCGTAGGGGCACGGGCCGGAATGTCAGCAACAGTGGTTAGTCAATGATCAGTGCACCCAGATTTGACCCACACAATAGACGGCGAGCTCTGTCGTCGGAGTGGGGAATCGCGGCAACCGGAAGTAGACGCTGTCTATAACAGTGCGTCGGCGGTGCCGTGTGCCACGCAAATGAGGAGGGGCACTTAGCTGACTCAGTGAGGAGGGGCCAAGCGGTTTTGGAAGAGGGTATCGTAGGAAAGAGGGAGAGAAGCGATCGTCGCGTTTCGATCATCAAACGCGTGTAACTCCTCGGATACCCGTCCCATCACTTGAGATTTAAACCCGCCCCACGCCCTTATCGCCTGCGATACGTAAAATACTAACTGTTCATCCCTTACCACGCAACATACACTCCCAGCATGACAAGGGCCGGTGCGAATCCCGCGTACGATACCTCAGCCGGATGCTCAAAGACATCCCGGAATCGCATACGTTTCACCCGGACACAGCCCGAACTCACGAAGGTTACACCTCGGTAGTGTTAGATGGCACCGATTCCCTGCAGGACTCGGCTGCGAAGCGTGGGACACATGGCGCTCACGGCGAAATTCTCGCAGTTTTTCTAGCGATACAACACGCTATCCGTGTTCACAGTGAGGTCTCCATATTGACAGACTCGCAACAGGCATGTCGGGCCTTTCTATCAAGGCATGACATCCCGAAAACAGCCCACCAAATTCTCGAATTTCACTAACTGAGTCAAACAGTTCTTTTCTCATCTACTTACTTTCGACTCCTGGTTATGCCTCTCTGCTGGGCAATGAACGCACACACGCTGTTGCCCGCGAAATTTCCCTCTGGGTGGCCTGGCAAGACGAGGCGACCATTTCGGAGTGGGGGGATCATCTTCTCCCTTACAAAGGCATTCTTCGTCACCACAGGAAAGTTCATCGCACTCGGAGCGCCCCACCACCATCTTTCTCGCGAGAAGAGGCAGTAGCGTTACGCCAGCTACAGACTAAAACATTTCCCAATCTAGTATCACTTGATAAATTCTACCCGCAGTGCTATGCAGACCGTTGCCCCGGCTGTGGAAACTCGCCCACGACCTCTTATGTCTCGATTGAGTGCACTGCGAACATCTTTCCTTCCTTATCTCCTTTACTTCACCCTTTACGTAACGAGGAGCTTTGGGATGATGCACTCCGCGATGGACCTCCCAAGGTCCTCCGAGCTCTAATACAGCGGGCCCGGCTCGCCACTGGAGTCGTCCTAGAGACCCCGGACTAGGGGTTCCTCCCAAGCCCTCCTTCTCCATGCTTTTGTGAATAAAGACGTTTCTCCCTCTCTCTCCACTAACGCGGTACCGTTTAATTAGAAAAAATCTCATGACTACATGTTCGTTGTAAACTCAAGTAAGACTTCCTCACCTCAACTAAACGCTGGGAAATTTAGGGGCCCTTCAAGGCGTGGTTCTGCATCTCCTGTATGTAGTAGCCACCTCTAGTTTTAGTCTCTCGAATGTGCGCTACATGGCGGCACTTGTATATGATGAATATATGATGAGAAAGATACGAGATGGTTCTACTTGAAGTGTTCACTAGATGAATGGAGAGACAGACAGACAGACAGACACACAGACAGACAGACAGACACACAGACAGACAGACAGACAGACAGACAGACAGACAGACAGACAGACAGACAGACAGACAGACAGACAGACAGATGGACAGATGGACAGATTGACCAACAGACGTACTGACGGACAGATGGACGTTCAGACAGATGGAGAGACGGATGGACGAACAGCCAGCCAGATGAACAGACGGAAGGACATACACACGGCGGACGGATGGACGCAGCGAGCGGATGATTCACGGTTGGTCAATAAAACACTTCGAAGCTTCGCCCAACTCATCATCAATACTCCGTGGATATGCTGCGATTTTTCAAGGGCGAAACTCTTCTTAGCCCAGCCTTCTCCTGCATGTAGCGTAAGAGAAAGAAGAGAAGGGGAAAAAAGGAGCCCCAGTATAATAGACTGTGCTGTCTGATAGAAGTACATACAAACTGCAGTTGAGGGAAGATATTTTATATGGCGCTGTACCGCTACTCTCCCATAAGCTGCTGCGCGGGTTGTACTTGGGTGTGTGAGGAAGAAATGTATCCCTCAGTCTCCTCGCTAGTTGCCGTACGTGGCGGATCGTTGGTGGGACATGGACGAAACAGGGCGGTGAGCGCGTTAAAGACGCTCGCACTCGGCTTCCTTGGCTCGCGTCTCGTCGGTGTTACCCAGGTGCCGGCTGCATTCTTGAATGCGATCGGACGCATGGACGCATGCACGGATGGATGGATGGACGGTTGAACGCATGTACGGATGGACACAGAGACAGGCAGATGGACGGACAGAGAGACAGGCAGAGGGACATATGGACGGATGGAGAGATGCACAGACAGACAGACAGACAGACAGACAGACAGACAGACAGACAGACAGACAGACAGACAGACAGACGAACGAACAAACGCACGGATGTATGGACGGTTGAACGCACCAATGGTCACACGTCGCATGGATGGGCGCACGGACAGACCGCTTCGGCGCATGGCATGAACGCTTCGCCCCAGTCATCATCATACGCTCCGCGGATATGCTGTAATTTAAGGAAAAACGACCTAGACAAGTGGCTGGGATAGTCATGTCGGGTTTCCGCACCAGCCTGGTGAACCCTTACTTGCTGGGTGATTGTGCATGTGCTATGTGATGTGCTACCTTTCTGTCCATTTCCGCTGTCTGCCCTTTCCTCTCATTCCATTCCTTTCCTCTCTATATTGTAGGGTAGGGTAGAAAATGGTTATTCTGGACTGGTTGACCTCCCTACCTTTCCTTCTCCACCATTCCCTCTCTCCCCCTATCTATTGTCGTCATCGCGCCTTACATTTAAAAAATGGTGACGTTAGTACCACGGGCAATTAGTGGGTATATGGCTATTGCGTGGATAGTTTCGCCATTATTTGAGTGCGGTGGAGGAATCGCTGGTGGTAGAGAAAGATGAAGGCTTGCTGCTCGTTCAGACGTGTTCTGCTGTTTGCCGTGCTGTTACTCTTTCTAATTTCATTATCGTGCGAATAGTTTTCTGCTGACCATGTATATCTTGCAGCCGGGTATTGCACTCTTGCTGTTTTTATGCGGCTCGTGAGAGACGGCTGTTACACCAGCACAGTGCCGCATCTTACTCGGCTGTAATGGCCTGCTAACAGACAAACAGATCTCGATTCGATTGTCCAGCGGAGCGTAGCAGCCGTGAACTTCCGAATCGATAGCGTTGCTTCATGATGTGCACAAGTTAATGCCCAGCAATGTGGCGCACCGGGCAGCCGTCACAGTACATAATGAGATATAGCATACGTAATACGGCACTAAACATGAGATTTTACAAAAGCGTTGCCCTGTTGTATTCACCTCATACTATTTATTTTCATTTCATCCATAAATAGGTGCTTTAACGGGAATGTACGGCTTGTTTATCGTTCGTCTTTAGAATGTAGTAAAATACACATGAACAGAAAAAAATGTAAAACTGACATGCACTTGCCCCATGACATTCAAAAACGAAGTTCTATTGAATCATCACATAACACATGCAGCCCTTCTTTACACCTAATAAACCTTGACCTTAGTTCTTTTTGACAGCGCCGTTGGTGACGCGCACGGGTGCTTGTTAATGTGATAAGCGAGCGATCGTGTCATTAATTTAACTCTCTCTTCAATTATAGAAAATAATGGTTTCACACGTCGCCACTGGTAAAAATATGATGACGAATTTCACTCGTTTACTTTACGTTTTCACAAAGAATCGCCGTATCGGTAAGGAGAGTGAGGCAGGTACACACACTTTTTTCGCTGAACTGTGAAGAAAACTGCTGGGCTGCTATTTTTTAGTTGTATTTCTGCCCGCATATCCATAGAGTTTCTCACAATCATACCTAAGGAAAATTCGGTGCTAGTGAGCTGCTGGATGCAGGGAATGACGGGATACGTGAGCTTCGAACTTGACTCGGATTTGTATACCTTAAAGATGTGTCTGGCTTCACGTTAAAATTATTAATTTCCTACTAAATGAGCATGTAATAAGCTATTTAATTTTCGTCATTGCACAAAAACGTGCTGTATTTAACACTAAAGCCTTCTAAGTTGATGTACAGTTTTACGAAGCGTGAAAAGTAACCAACGGCCGCAAAACTTGGCAGGCAGACGACAAAACGAGCGTTCTTTCCACCGCACGTATGTCGTCCTGTTTCTTTCCTTCTCCGTTTGGTTGTGCCGTCAAAGTAAGTGGGGTTTTATTTTAGAATATAATACGCGTGAATGAGATCCGCTTATAAACGTTTGCTATAGAAAAGCTTTATTTAAGCAGTCGTATTCGCTTTTGAGCCAAAGCCTGACTCAACACCAGCCAACACAAGCCTCGCAGACACATATACCGTCATTCCCAGCGCTCCAACATCGCCCCTTAAGAAATTCGCATAGATGGTGGCACCACACTTCCCTCTAGGCATTTGCGAGAAACTCTATGCGCACATGCTGTCGCAAGTGGCTGTAGTTCAATAATCGACACCAATCGTACACACTACAATGTTTTTCTCAGTGTGTGTTTTCACAAGTTGTCATTTTCGTACGTTTTAATAGGGTCTTCTAGCAAAGAATGGTGAATGTTGTAGGGGTCGTAAATGGAATAGAAATAATGAAGCTATGGGCTTTTTTTTCACCTTTACTTTCCATGACCGCTTATGAATATATGGTATCACCACCACACTTTTTTTTCTCTATTCGAACCTGTTCACACTTCTTTTCACTGAATCTGCTTCAGCTATTTTTCACTGAATCTGCGACACCACGACGATGAGAGAAACAGAATAAGAATAACATTGGTGTCACACGATGCACTGTTGATCGCCATTAAGCCTGTCTAAAACCGAATATCTCACCAATGATGGGCACGCTTCTTCTTCTAGCGTAAAGGGCTAATCGTGATAAAGAGATACGATCCGAATCAGGCCCGATCATAATCAAAAGCGTGTGTATGACCGCGGTATAAAAGAGAGACAGAGATTTTAACCAGAGCTGAGCTCGGAAGGCTACACTGCACTGGGCAAGGGGTAAGGAAAGTTACTGAGGAGAGAAACGTCAATTCTTCAGCCGACGTAGTAATTTGCCACTTGATATCACAGGCTGTGAATTAGTCCAGTATTATTTTAAAAAAACTGTGGTTTCGTTGCCATTTGGAAATGTGATGGGCAGCCCCGTGGTCACAGTATATTCGCGATGGTAAAAAAAAAAAACGCTTACGTCCAGGTATTCAACAGCAATACGTTAGCGAAACATCTCGTGCGAATAAGTCGGGCAAAACCACAAGAAATGCATAATAGTTTCACTGAAGTCCCAGTTGTTGCACTCGGTGCTGTATGCTATCCGATCTAAAATGAGTCGCTGTTGTTGAACAGTGCACCCAGGCACAGAAGGGTGCAATGCAGTATCTTGAGGCTCTATGCCACTAAAACGTCCCGCTTCAGCACTGCCAAGTGATTGCGGCAACTACCAGCAAGGACCTCGCCCATGAAGCTGCCAGCAAAAGCACGCAACGAGGCGATGCCTTGGTAGAATATCTTTATCATTTATTACCTGCCAGCAGAGACGGCAGTTCACATATCATTGATTGCATTCCCTAGACTCATCTACATGGCTCTGATAAAATCATCTGGCTGAGTAGTCCTAGTGCACAAAGAATCTAGTCCACAGTTGTACGTCTACAGAAGTATGTAAACTTCCGCAGTTCTTACAGGTTTATGACGTTTTGAGGAATGGTTGGTGGTAGGGCCCGCAGCCCGGTGTTCTCGCAAAAGAAGCTGTTGTTTTTGGAGCAGCGGCATCCAGGATAGATCCAATCTGAAATAGAAAAACAAAAGTATTTTAAATGATCAATGAAAAAAGAAAGGTATAAAACCAATGTTTCTCAGTTGTGTGCTTAGTCATGGAGCTTAGACAATAAAGTTGGCCGCATACATGCTCTTTGGGATACTGGAACTTGTACTAGAGATTTTGCTTGATTTTACGATACTTCGCGAGACCAGCAGTGGCGTCAATAGATAAAAAAAATGCGAATAGAAAACCAACAGGCCTGCGCGGGACGCGCAGCACAGTCATAGTGAAAGCTACAAGAGCGGCCTTTCTATAGAGACTTTTTTAAACAATTTTGCGGCAATTAGTACAAATGCCATAAAAATAGGTTTTTCTGCAGTGAGCAAGCGTCCACTATTCGATTGTTTTTCATTTCTGGAAAATCTTGGTGCCCGCTACAACCTTCTAAGGCATCATATGAGCTTTATTTGCTGATGCTTATATGCGCTTTGCTGGATGCTTTGACCTGAAACCTTCATAGGGTCAGTTTGCATCGGTGTTTCAAGCAACGATGCTTCAAGCGTTTTTTTTTTTTGAACAACTTAAGTTTCAGCCGGGCTGATATTCGGAGTTCATGAAGTTCACTGCTCAAGCATTTTTTTAGAACACAGTGTTGTATGAAATTCAGTTTCGTAATGCCTATAATACATGTGTCGGAGTGGCCTTCAAAGTTTTTGTACGTTATGTATATACGTAAACCTCATTTGTAATAAATACCATGTAACAGAGAAAAAAAGTGTTGGCGTATCTCAGAGGCGCAATACTGCACTGCCACGCCGAGGGTCCTGGTTTGATTCTCAATATATTCTAGCTTTTTTTTATTTACAGAGTTTTTTTATATTTCGCGCGATTGTGGTTCTCGTTATCGATGGAAGCTAGAGACATTTGCTGTCCAAGAATGAGCCCTTGTGATCTCATGACAGCTTTCACTGAAACAAAGTCCGTCAAATTTATGTGATACTCAAGTGGATGTATGTATGCGGTCGGCGTACCAAAAGCTGCATGACTTCATTCGAAGATGAGATAAATGAAGTCACCCTACGAATTCACGATGACGTCAAAGACGTCCCGATCCAAGCCACCATAGTGACTTAATTATAACGTCACAATTAAGTCAGAACATGACGTCTCATGATGGCGTCATTGTATGACTTTAATGATCAGTTAAACTCAAAGGAGGCTTGTTACGAAGGCTGTGAACAGGCATGTGAACTGCAGAAACCTCGTGATTCGTTCAGTTTTGGAAGCTGTGCTAAATCACATTGCCTCATGAAACTCTCTGAGGTGCAGTTTGGAATATGGCCAAGTAATACATGCACTCAGGAGTAAAATCAGAGAAAAAAGGCGGCTTTCACTTTTTACTCGTCTTGAAGGTTGCATAAAGAACACTGTGAGAATTCCCGTTCAAAATATTTCCATGCCGAAGTCCACCAGTACTTCATTGACGTGTTTTCGTCACAAAAATGATGTTATATAATGCATGATCTGGTTTCAAAAAAGAACTTGAAAAAAAACGTTACATTGACGGTGGTCAAACTCACAACCTCTTGGCCATCTACAACAATTGGCAGGCATGCTATTCATAGCGCCGCGATCATGTGGGACGGCGCAGTTGAGGAGAGAGAGAGAGAGAATTAACTTTAATAAAGGCCCTGAAGGAAACAGGGCACCCCTTACGGGGGCCAGCCCGGTGGCTCCGCCCATGTGGGGACTGGGAGTCGGAGCTCGCCAGCCAACTTTTGGGCTTTCTGGACGGCCTGGTGTTGAAGGGCCCTGTCGGGGCTCCTGAGGTGGTTGACCCAGTCGTCCTCGGTGGCAGGGGACCCGAAGCTAGCGTTTAGCACGGACACTGCCACAGCATGTGGCTTAAATCGCACCTTGAATTTTGGCAATTGGGGCATTCTGGCCTTATACCTGGTAGAAAGATAGAGAGATAAAGTTGCAAGGAAAGGCAGGGAGGTTAACCAGACGCACATCTGGTTTGCTACCCTGCACTGGGGAAGGAATAAAGAGGAGAAAAGAGGTTGCAGAAACATGAGAAGGTACACACTATCACGAGCACACTCGGGGAGCACACACAGTCTATAGGCGGTCGCTCAGGTTTGTTGACTTTAGGTAAAGTAGCAGTGCTTTAGTTGCTTTCTGCACAACTGAAGCAGATGCCCAAGGTCCTAGTATCTTCTGCACACAAAATGGTCCGGGGTCAAGTTGATTCAAAACCATCCGGAGCTGGCATCGCTGTGTGTCGTAGCAAGCGCAGCTGCACAGGACGTGTTCGATGGTCTCTTCAGCTCCGCAGTAGTCGCATGTAGGAGTGTCTGCCATACCAATGCGAAAGGAGTACACCTTTGTAAATGCAACACCCAACCAAAGGCGGCATAACAGTGTCGCATCGGAGCGGGAAAGTTGTGACGGTAGCTTTAGCTTGAGCGAAGGATCCAGTTCATAAAATTGATACCTTTGGAAGCTGGTAGACGACCAGAACGTGCGTGTGAGATCTCGAGCCAGCAGGTACAGTGGTCTTGCTGCATACTTCCTTGATAGAGGAATCGGGACTACACGGGTTTCTTCATGGGCTGAGGGGGCTGCATCATCGGCTAATTGATTTCTGGTAATACCGATATGTCCAGGCAGCCATTGATATATAATATCATGCCCTCGTGCTAGAGCTTCATGATGGCAATGTCTTATTTCTTGTACCAATTGGTCATGACTCCTCCTACGCATGACAGACTGCAAACTCTGAAGCGCTGCCTTCGAATAGCAGAATATGACCCATTTTCCGGGACGTTCTTGAACGAGATATTGTAAAGCAGCCGTTATAGCAGCAAGCTCTGATGCCGTAGATGTAGTCATATGCGACAACTTGAACTTGATTGTCATTGCTGCAGCCGGCATTACAGCGGCACCTGATGAGCTGCTGGACGAGACGGACCCATCAGTGTATATCTGCGTTCGGTCTAAGTACAACTCATGTAATAATAGCAGTGCTGCTTGCTTCAATGCTACTCTGGAGTGAGTGCTTTTCTTTTTGACTCCCGTAATTTCTAGAGGTACTTGCGGCTGGTCGAGGCACCACAAAGGACCCGCCATTCCCGCAACTGGCGTATATCCTGACGGAATGCTGTTTAGGTGCTTGGCTATGACGTCTGAAAACGTAGCGCGTGGTCTTCCGGAGGGTAGAAGGGCCAAGTGGTGGTCGGGGACACGGCTAGCATATCGAATGTGCGCTCTGAGGCAATCCACAACTCTATATGTCCTGACCGGATGGTCTTTGGCAAGCATGATTGTGGCATAAGTAGAAGCGCATCGGGGATGTCCTAGGCAGATACGCAGTGCCTGACCCTGCAAACTCTCCAATGAATGAGTATTCGATTTGCAAGTGTTAGTCAGTACCGGCAAGCTGTAGCGCAATAGACCCAGAAATAGGGCCCTGTACAGCTGTAGCATGTAGGCCACAGAAGTTCCCCATCCTTTCCCGCACAAGAATTTCATTATATGCACAATAGATAGCAGTCTCTTCTTCAAGTACGCACAATGCGTGCTCCACGAAAGACTTGTGTCGATTATTATGCCCAGGAAACGATGCGTCTTGCATATTTGACACTCTGCCCATTGATGTAAACAGGGTAGGGCGTCATTGGTTTGCGTGTAAACGCCTTAAAACGCGTACTTCACAGCTGATATATTTAGGCCTTGTTTCTGAAGGTAGGCTGTTGTGAGGGTTACTGCCCGCTGTATTCGTTCACGAACCTGAGGGCGAGTAACTGCAGCACTCCAGAGGCAAATATCACCGGCGTATATGGATAGGCACACCGACTTTGGCAGAACCTTCACCAAACCAGTTGAGGGCAACATTGAACAATGTGGGGCTTAAAACACCTCCCTGAGGTACTCCACAGTAGATGTAATGTTGAGCAGTTGTACCCTCATAGTTTGTACAAAAAAAACCCTGCCAGTTATATAATCTTTTATCCATTGAAGCATTCGTTCACCAATGCCCATTCCTGTGAGGGAAGTGAGGATGGCATCGTGAGCTACATTATCATATGCACTCTTCACGTCAAGAAAGAGTGCCACTGATATGCGCTTGCGACGTTTTTCTTGTTGAACAAATGTCGATAAGTCAAGGACACAGTCAATGGAAGAACGGCCCCGACGAAAGCCTGCCATGCAAAAAGGGTATTTGTTGTATCGTTCCAAGTACCACTCGAGACGAAATAGAACCATTCTTTCCATCACTTTTCCGAGGCAGCTTGCGAGGGCAATAGGGCGATACGCTGTCAAGTCCAATGGTGATTTTCCCGATTTCAAAAGTGGTATTAATCGACTTGTTTTCCATTCTCGGGGAACACTGCCGCTGAGCCAGGAGTTGTTGAAGCATGTTAAAAGTTCTTTTCTGGCTTTTTGTCAGGGGTGTCCCAACGCACTATAAGTAATACCATCCGGACCTGGCGATGACATGCGCTTAGAAGCGAGTAACACACCTTCCAGTTCTTCCATGGTGAATGGAATGTCCATTTCTGGTAATCGCGTCTCAGGAACGATCACGGCGTCGATGCTCTCGTTCATAATATTCCCGACAACTCTCGTGCAAGATTCTTCAGCCACCTCGAGTTCTGTTTTTCCATGATGGAGTGCCGAAGCTTTAAAAGGGTGCCGTTGTTGCGGAGAGGAGCGAAGACCACGAACTGTTCTCCAGATATAAGACAGTGGCTTATGAGGGTCTAAAGATTCGCAGAATGCTTTCCAGCGTTCGCTCTCCAGCTTGTAAATGCGTCATTGAATCTTTTTCTGGAGCCGCTTTGCTTCCCTCAGATCGTAATTTGATATTGTGCGTCTGTATCGTCGTTCAGCACGCCTTCGTATAGCTCGTAATTTTTCCAGTTCAATGTCAAACTGTGTTACTTTAGACGAAAATGGTAATTTACATTTGGACGCTTGCATAGCTTCCGCTATGGTATTTTCCAGGCTGCAGGCGAGGCCTT